GCGCCTGTTTGCGTGACATGCTTTAGACATTCTTCTACAGGTAACAATTACCACAAGGCTAACTTCATCTAACACATTCCCAACACCGATGAAAACTACCCTAGCAAGCTGAAGAATTTATTATAGATCTAGAACTAGTATTTCAACACACCTAATTTATCTTTCCAGTATTTGATTTTTTTGAAATGAGCTCTTTTCCTTTCTTTGTTTTCTTCCTCCTCTAGTTGCAATGAATCTATACTCTTTCATCATCATTTTTTATCATCTGGTAGCTCCCTAAGATGTTAATAATTTTTGCTAAACATTGTGTAACCAGCAGTAAACGAACACTTTTTGTCAAATATTTTCAAATGGACAGGTAAACCAGCAGTAAACAAACACTTTTTGTCAAATATTTTCAAATGGACAGGTAATATAATTTTTAATATAAATTTTTTATATGTTGACATTAATTAAAAATCATTTAAACTGACTAATGTTATTAACTAAGTTAAATTATATTTAATTAATATTAAGTTAAAATTTTAAAGGCTTCTACACTACTTAACATGCTCCCGCTTAATGATTTACATAACTGTTTGCGTGAGAACTTTCTTTAATTCAAAGTAAAAAGCCACGACTCATAACTTCTCCCTTCCATCGCTCATATTTCCTTCCCTTTGTTTGAAACAGCACAAGAACCCCACCATCGTCTTCCTCCCTGTTCGAACTCCATGACAGACCTCGCTTTACTGTTTGAAGTTCTCTTGTACTTTGCTTCTTCTTCCCACTTTGTAACTCCATTCCTGCACCGCAACCTACCATATTGTGTTCCTCTTTTCCTCGCGCGTCCTCCTCCATCCCACTCTCTATTCGCATGACACATTCACAGTATCGTCAGGACTTGTGCTAAAGGTGAAGGCAACACCAAAATCGCGGCATATAGAGACTTTAGTAGCTCCCTCGCCATTTCGCACAGCTGAGTCATATGTCTCCACTGCTCCTTCCTCCCAGTTCGTCGACCACTGCATCGAAGCTTACGGTCCGCCCTACTGCCTCGGATAAAGGGGTAGATGTTGGGAGGCTACCAAAATTTATGTGTATTTGTACTTGTAAATAATTAAAAAATGTGAATTTAGACTTGTATGTCATTTTAAAATTTGAACTCTTTTGACTTAAAAAAATGATTTAAAATATGGGCCAATAAATTTGCAATAATAATTCAATTTCCATTTTTGAACTTCACAAATATTGAAGTTATGCTCTTATGGTTTAAAAATTAATTTGAAGTTGAATTTTTCAAATTTAGGCCTCTACAATTAAGCTTTTACGGTTTAAAATCATTCTGAGATTTTTGCTTTTTAAACTTAAACTATTTGGTTTGTACATTTGGATTTATTAAAATTGATCCAAATATTAAATATTTGTGCTTTCAAGAATAACTTCTAAGTTTGGGAGGGCTTAGCTTAATAAAAAATTGAAATTGAAATGTCATAGCTAAGTTTGACTTGAAATTTAAGCACCGTTGAATCTACAATGTCAATTCACAAGCAGATAGAAGGCGACCTTTTTGGAGCCCAAAATATAACCGTGCATGTGATTCAATAATACAATATTTAATTAAAGTTTTATTGTTTCAAATGATTTCAAACTTTCATAAAATTCAAGGCTAATTTAATTCATATAATATATCTCAAAATCAATGGTTCAAATGCTTTGAAGCTAGGCATATACATCTAAACAACGAAGAATTGATTTTTATTAGCAAAGTTTGGATAATTTCAAACCTTGCATTTGCATTTCAAAATACTTCATACATACAATATATTGTTACAAATGTATGTTTATAATGTTTTAAGATGCATATGTATTTGTCGCATGGGCTCCACCTAGAATTCTAAATATTTTAACGAATTGCTTAATAATGTTACACAGGTTAGGGCCGAACTAGCACCCAAATAGTTCATATTTTGAGAAGCAAACAACTGGGCTATTTTGTTTATAGTATATGGTTGTAAGTCACACTCAACTAGTCTGATTCTCCTCTAAAAAGCTGGAGTTGACGAGTTTAGTAAGTTCTAATAGTGTCCAAATTAAATATATAAAAATTTGCAAATTCAAATCATCTAGTATCAACTTCGTCCTCATCAGGACTAATATGTTAAAAATATTAAAAATTGATAAATTTTAAATGAATCTTAAGCATAAATGTTTCTAATGTTTAAATCTCCAATGATGGTCGTGTTAACTGAAAATTTTAACTAAAGGCACAACTTTTAAAATCATATTTTCAAATCAAATTTTCAAAATAACAAATTAAACAGTTAAGTAAAATTAATCACTTATATACTAAAAAAAATCACATCCAACCTCTGCAAAAGTTTGTCAAGGGTGATACTTCTGTTTAATTTCAACTCACAAAAGAGCTAATGTCACAATGAGTGTGCAATTATATTCACACTCAAAGTAACAATGAGTATGCCTGAGTCATCTATTCGTGTGGTATGACCCAAAAACTCTACAAAATAACGGTTACGATCAAAGCCCTCTAACTAAGTGGTTGCCGCCAAATCACACCATTATTTTACAGTTACGTATGCAGCCGGTATGTTCCCCAACGGCTTTCTGTACTTTGATTTGTGAACCATAAAGATACATCAGATCGATTGACACAAAGTATCATGTAAATTAAGATCAACTTAAATTTGTTCCCTTAGACAAACATTCACCTCGGATCTACAAGGATCTATTGGACAACGCAACTCATAGTTGCTGATAAGAATCCTTCAATCAGGTTGAATCGACTACCTTCTCTGACTAAGTAGATTAAGGACCACGATGACTCGGGACGGCGAAATCATAGGATCTTGATCTGGTTCGTCATCATTTCCCCCATCATCCGTTTTAAGCTCCAAATGATAAATTATACACCTAAAACTGTATGCATGTTGCTACTATATGTTCATTATTTAGTGTTAAATGACTAGACTTAATCGAAAGTGTCCTTATGTTATTAGAAGGGGTAATTAATCATAGGGGCTCGCGCCTATAGAATACCTCAAACCTCAAATAAAAAAATCGTCACAAAACGGGCAAAATCTCTAGGTAGTGACTTATCTACAATCCAATTTTTCTTCCAAAAATTTGACCCTCAAAGCTCTCAACACAAACGAATCAGAGAATCCGTGGTGAAAAATTTTTGGAGCCCATATTATAGTTTATTTATGACTATCCAATTTTTCTTCCAAAAATTTGACCCTTGAAGCTCTCAACACAAACGAATCAGAGAATCCGTGGCGACAAATTTTTGGAGCCCATATTATAGTTTATTTATGACATGTTAACTTAATAAAACATGATAGTCATGTTATTAAATTTGCTAAATTGCATCTAAGTAAGCATCATTCATTTTGAATAACTTTCGATGAAATACTACTACATTGTCTTCTAAGGTCGGCGACTAAGGTAATACACGTCTTTCAAAGATTCAAATCATAATTTAAATGACAAACCATAATACAATGAATCGTGGCGAGGCCCACCACAGACCTCTATGATTCTAATTTTACTGGCCTCTCACATACATGTATTGCATTTTGTGTCATTAGTTTTACAAAAAATGACTATTGATAGGCATCTTTGAGAAGAGTTGAATACAACTTTATTTTGTTGGACGCCAAAAATTTTGTACAAACTCTATATGTATATGATAGCTTGAAGTATGTTCAAAGAATAGGTTTTTAAAATTTTAGATATTAGTTTGCAGAAGAATGAGTTAAGAGTACCTAAATTGACAGGTTATCTTGAATATATGGTTTTTAATACCGATCATTATTGAATCAATATTGGATGCCATAAAATAATCAACTCTGCAAATAGCTTTAATGGATTAACAAAAAAAAGGAAAATCATTTTTTATTTCCAATATCTAATCAAGTAAAAATGCCACTAGCTTAAAATTTCTGCCTAACTTCAAATAAAATATCTCAAAATATTATCATTTTAGCCATTTGCTTTTAAACAGCCTCAACACAATAGTTTAACAAACAAGTAAAATTGATTGAGTTATGAACCGCACCGAGACAGCAGGGTGTTCAAGTAATAACAACGGCTTCAAGGAAAGCAGCTTTCAAACTCAGCTTTGCCTACAATAGATTTTCAACTAACTTCATCGATGGCATCAGCCACCACAAACGAAGGCTTAGAGATAAATTTTATCCTACCTATTATAAATATATATAATAGTTTACCAACTGATAAATTAAAGGTAAGACAATTAAATTGTTGATGAACAAGTAACTGCTCTTCCTGTCCTGCAGGAAATGATGACGTCTTTATAGTTAACCGTCAAGACAGAAGGATTTACAACATGTATTTGCATTATCAAGATTAATCAGGAATTGATTGTCTTTTACATTATTTCTTATTTCAGAAGTTTTAATATGTAATGTAATAAGCCCTTGGGTGTAAGCTGGACTTCCAATTGTTTGATTTTTATTCCCATAAAATAGTCCTTATGTTATGAATAAAACTTAATATGATGAGTCAAACTAAAATTTCCTGCAACCCATTTTTGTTTCCTGGTTTTTTCATGTGTGCTTTAAGTAATCAATAAAAATTGCCTTCAGATTCAACAATTTAAATGCTACGAGGATTCAATATCATGTGTGCTTTAAGTCATCAATAAAAATTGCCTTCAGATTCAACAATTTAAATGCTACGAGGATTCAATATCTATAACTTGAGAATTCATTGGACTGTCTGGTTCTCTTAAATTCCTACTTATTCTGTAATTCAGATGCCTATTCTGCATCGATGTGCTAATGAATATAACAAAACACAAATTGGAAAAAAATTTCATGTTTGACAACTCCTGTTGGTTACAAAAAAAGGAACTCTTGCTTTCTATCTTGAGGTTTGTGTGCGGTTTAACCCAAACATATAGTAAACATTTGTACACATTGAAAATATCACTAGCACAATATTCCTATAAATTATTCTGAAAAAAACTATAAACTTACATTCAAGTAGACTGTGACATCAATATTGATGATATCCCCGTCCTGCAATGCATATTGCAAGGAGTAAATGAAAGAAAGGTAAACGAGAAAGAAACAAAGATATGGCAGCAAAAGAGAGTTTTAGATGCACCTCAAGTTGGCGTGAGTCTGGAATCCCATGACAAATGCATTCATTTACAGATGTACAAACACTCTTAGGAAAACCGCCATAACCAAGAGGTGAAGGATATGCCCCATTATCTATAATCATCTGGTGAACTGCTTTATCAATTTCATCAGTTGTCAACCCTGGCTGCAAAACAAAGATTATTTGATTCCAAAATCTGTATAGTTAACTTTGGATCGCAGAATTAAAGACTAATTTTTAGATTTATTTCTTACCAAGGTTGTTATTTCTACACCTTTTTATATTACAAAGAGCAAGAGAATAAAATTCAGTCACAAAATCTCCGTTCTATTCTTCTGTCTGCCCATTCTAATTTTCAAGATTTATTAAGCCCTTAAACATCTTATAACAATTACACATGACAATCTAACTCCCCTAATGAGTTTTACTTAAATTTAACTTACTACAACAATTTTTATTTTAATTTATTTAAAATTATGTAATAAAAATTATATTGTACATATATTTAATTAATCTAACTAAATTTTTTCATTTTTTAGCTTCACAAGTGTATTGTTTCCTAGCAATAAAAATTATTTAAAAGGTTTTTTTTTTTTTCTTATGCTGCAACTTGGCAGCTTTCATGTATTAATTTCATGTTGTAACCTAGAACGTGGGTAAAAGGTTTTTTTTTTTTTCTTATGCTGCAACTTGGGCAACATGAACATCCTTCTCAGGTATTTTTCACATGTTGAACGCATTGGCACAATTTGTCTTGCAACATAAGCAATAATTGAATGATTATGATTGCGATTAAGGTGTTTAAAATTAAAATTGCATAAATTTATGATTTCATATTAGGTTTCCCATAGCCATTAGCTCATATGATTAATTATCCCTACAGATGATTATAGAAAATTTTCATTTAATACTAGCCATTAGTTATTAAACATTTCGCATATAATTGCAATAATTTTAGTTTTAGATTAAAACATTTATCATTGTCAACTCAGAAGACATAGTGATAGAACAGTAATGAAGCCAATCAAGGTTCCATGAACCCAGATAATCATAGACCCTGATCTACTTAATAAAGAAAAACTAGTTGATTAAAGTTGAGCAAAGCAATCTCGTCAGCAGTCATGGGTCACACCATTCAATAGAACTTTATAGGTTTGGGGCCAAGCTAAAAAGGAACAGATTTAAAATTAATTGGTATAGAGCTTTGTATCCGATCAAATGCACTGTGGTTCACCATATAAGGAATTTAGGCCATTAGATAACTTGAGGACTCTGATCTTGATCATAAATTAATGGTATCATTTTAAGGCGAACTACCAAGCAGAGTTGCCCACCCCAATCATAATATTCCTTTTTAAGTTGCCATCTAACAACAGAACAACAAAGTCAACAGACATGTACCATGTCCTTGCTAGTGTGTGATATCTGAGATAAACCATAGAAGTGAACTAAATATAATATAACAGCAGCCCTTTATAAATTTAGTTTAATGTTAAATTTGTCACTCTCAATAAATTGTTGAGAAAAATCAGTGGCCCTTTATCAATTTAGTTTAATGATAAATTTGTCACTCTCAATAAATTGTTGAGAAAAATAGATGAATTGATACCTTAAACCTAAAAGTGAAATTGTTTGTAAGAAAATTTCATAATTTCACAATCTATCGAAGTTTAAGACTAAAATAATTTACTTTAAATATTGTGGCATTTTGATGAACAAACCCCTCCAATTGAGATTTTTTATCAATGTGGCTATATAAAAGTATTTGAACGATTTCCTTTTTATTTTCTTTTTTTAGATGCGGAGAACTGTGCTTGTGATTTGCATATAATTTGAATTTACTTGAAAAGTCAACGTATTATAAATCATGTCACTGTAGGCAAAGGATTGGGTCTATAAGTGAACTCATAATTACATTTTTTAAGTATAACAACAAAAAAAAATTCATTTTAAGATGAATTTTATTTATAAAGACCTTGAAGTCTTATGTAAATGGAAGACAAAAAGGATATTTCTAGGTTTTAAGATTTAATATTCTATTTTGCCTACATAGAGAACTAACTTTTGTTCTGTCATAATAGTTTCTTCAAAGGTTGAGATCTTGTTAACTCATATCCTAAGGGCAAGATTCACAGAGTTCAAATGATGAAAATCACGATTCTGTCCTGTAGGCAATGCAGACTGCATGAGAATCTCATGTAAAAAAGAAATGTTAATGGAATTGATTTTAAAAAAGAATGTGCGATCTATTTTTCTAAAAATAATCATATTTATTTAAATCAGTAGAATGCTTCTCAAGGAGAAAAAATTTTAAATTTATTTAGTCCTTTTTGCTCAGCGCAAATTTGAGCACTAGCACACATGTCAAATCACATGTGAGCATATTGATTTTGTCGATTTGAAGATCCTTTCAGAATGTGTACACGCTTTTCAAAGATTTTTTACAATTTTAATGCATACCTTTGCACAATTTTCAAAGCACCATTTAAGTGATTGACTTCCACTCTTTTTATATGCTTGCACAATTTAGGCACACCAGCATAAAACACTTAATGATTTTCAGTGCACCCATATAATGCACCTGTAAACTTTTTAAAATAATATGTACAGGTGAGAGCTATCTTATGATGTGTGTGCAAGTCTTGAAAGTATTAAATTATATAGTAGATGCTTTAGGTTCGACTAATGTTAAGAAAGGCAGAGGTAGACCTAGGAAGACTTTGGCATATTGTATAAAAAATTATCTTAATTTATTAAAAATGAAAATATGACACTAAATAAGACGCAATGGAAAAAAAGGATTCATGTAGCCGACCCTTGTGGGATAAAGGTTTTCTTGCTGTTGTTGTTGTTGTTGTTCTTGTGTTCTGTTACTTCCACGAAATTTTTGTTATTAGAATACATGCAATATTTCATTTTGAGTTTTGTAAGGAATGCAAGTGTTTGAGAAAAGGGATGTGGATTTTACAGCTTTGGAAAAGGGAGAGTGAGATGGTACGAAAGAGTCTCACCGTTGAAGGTTAGATTTAGGGCCCGTTTGGGGCAGCTTATAGGTGTGGCGGCGTTTTGAAAACGCCCCATTAGTGTTTATTTCTCGCAGTGGAGCCGCGTATCTGTAAACGGAGTTTTTAATTTTGTATTACACACGGATCGCCGGGATAGACCCGCGATCCGCGTTTGCACTCCTAGGTTTTACTCCCCTGCCCCTGCCCCTATTCTTTTTCGGGTTTTCGGGTCTGTTCGTTCGAACGCTTCTTTCGGCGCTCCGATCCTTTCTCCTTCGCCGTCGCTCCGCAAGTATATCTCCTCCTTGCGCTCCTCCCTCTGCTCTTCCCTCATCTCCCCCATTTTTGCGCTCCTCCCTGTTTCTCCTCCCTCTGCTCTTCCCTTCTCTCCCCCATATCGATGAATATGGAGCTGTTTAGTAGATCCAGTTTAGGGTTGACGAATATTTATTGTGGAAATGTAGATCCATTTTTTTCGGTGAATATGGAGGTGATTTCACTGTTTGGAATTGTTCTTTCTCTCTTTCTCCTTCAGTTACATCTCTGGATTATAGATTTGTGATTTGAACTTTATTTTTAACATCTCATATGCTTGATCTATGATTTTGGTGAACGTGGGGGATTTCCTTTTATTGCTTTGGCTATGAAAAAAGTTAAATGTGGGGGATCTCTTCACGTTACAGTTTCTATGTCTATTTTGCTCCTTTACAATGTGTTAAAAGTTTTTTTTTCTTTTAATGAAATGAAGTGGCTTGGTGTAGGATTGTTGTGCAAGGATATGTTATTGATTTCTGTGCATTTGCTTTGACTTATTGTAGTCCTTCCTTAGAAACTGGAATGCATTGATATGTAGCCTTGTTTGTCTTCTCATCAGTTTTGCTGAATGATTTATTGTGTGTTTGTGGACAATGCAACCAAGTGAAGCTAATCTTTTGGCATTACATAGAATTTATTGTGATCCTTTGGTAAATGTTAGCCATTGAATAATTAGAACTTAGGAAAAGACTGAAATTATTAAGTATAGTACAATTAAAATCTTGATAAAATAATATCTTTATGGTTCGTTTCTGGAGATTAATGTTGTAAGTGTGACATGCTTTCATTGCATTGAAGATTGGACTGCATTTTTTATTTACATCCGAATCATAAACATTATTGCATGTTAAGGAATGATTCGTAGATTAAAGAATTTACTCTATTGAGTGTTGTTACATGATTTTATCTTTAATTTCTAAAAAATATTTTCATTCGCAGAAAATATTTGTAGGGTAATACAGAAGTATGAATTGCTCATCTCTATATAATTATTATGCTTTCCTTCTACCAAATTGTTATTGTACATACGATTTTTCAGTTGAGCACCACTAATTTCAAGTTAGCTTGTTCATCTCATAGTCAAAATCTTGTTCATCTCACAGTCAAACTCACAGTCAAAATAAGTAAATCTAAAGAATGTGGATCATCGGCTATGTGGGATAAAGAGAACACCTTGACATTGTGTGATCTTTGTGTGAGAGAAGTCGAGTTCAGTAATAGGTCGAACACCTATTTCAATAAAGAAGGTTGGTATAACCTAACCGTTAAATTCAAGGAACTCACCGGAAGGGATTACGATCGAATGAAACTTAAAAACAAATGAGATCAATTGAAAAAAGACTGAAAATTTTGGAAAGAACTCAAAAGATGATCAACAGGATTGGGTTGATATCCACTTAGGCGGACAATAAATGCACCAGATGAATGGTGGGCCGAGAAGTTAGCGGTAAATACATAACTATATTTGTTTTTTGCGTTGATTGCATCTTTCTAAAGATTTTGACTATTTATGTCTCTTATTATATTACAGGTAGTGCCAGCTGCAAAAAAAATTAAACTTAGCGGCATTGATCTAGTATTAGAGGAAAAGTTGGATAGCATGTTCGTAGGTTTTGTCCCTCCCGGAAGTCATGCTTTCACCCTAACTGATAAGAGCTTTGTTGGTTTAACACATGACATTGCAACCGAGCACATAGGTGAATCTGAAGAAGGTCCCAGCCAACTCCATACAAGAGTTCAATCAACTGGTGGTACAAAGCATCCTAGAGCGGAAAAGAAAAAAGTTGGAGCCGCATTTGTAAGAGGTTCCATAGAGACAATACTTAAATCCTATAAACCGAAAACTGCACCACCACCAACACCAACACCAACACCAACACCAACACCAAACAACTACTCAATTCAGGAGTGCCTTAAAATCCTGAATACATATCATGGTGTTAAGAAAGACGAACCCATGTATTTAAAATATGTGAAGGTGTTAGGGAACTCCACTCGTAGACAGTTCTTCGCGAATTTGGACCCAAAATTCTGGCTTTCTTACTTGCGATCTTTTATGAATGATTGATTAGGGTTGACATTTGTTTTTATTTTAGTATCACTCATTGTAATAATTATGTGATGAACTCTTTGTTACTATCTCTTCATTTTAGTACCAGTCATTTAGACAGTTCTTTGTTTGTGTCATTATAGTTTATGTTTATGTACTTGTTCATTTTTCATGTTGTAGTATCCTTCCTGTTACTTCAATTTAACTTTTAACATGTTTTAAAAAATAACATTTACCACATCTTGTAGAATGGATGAAGAACAACGTAACCGCAACCGCAAAGTCGCTCTCGCTCTCATCTTGCTATACTACTACTATCATACATACGTTGATCGAGCACCTTGTATGAAATCGAGCCAGATTGGAGATAAATGGGTCGGGGAGTTATTACGTGGACACCCGACAAGATTTTCAAACATATTCCGTATGACGAAGGTGATATTTCTCGACTTGCTTAATGAACGTCGGGATCTTCATGGATTACACGACTCATCAAGAATAACTGCCAGAGAGGTATTGACAATTACCCTGTATATTTTATCCCAAAATGAATCTATTAGAGGAGCTATGGAGCGCTTCCAACAATCCTCAAAAACCATTAGTAGATATTTTTCCATTGGTTTGAATGTGCTGGTGAGTCCGGCATATAAAATAGTAAAGCCCAAGGTTCACTTATGAATGGTTATGTTATACTTCTGTACTGTAAAGCTGAAGTTAAGGTTGATATAATAGAAGTGGCATTGTGATTTATGGAGAAAAGTTGAGGTTGATGGAATGAAAATTTTAATACTGAGCATAAACCTGCTATTTGGAATTAATGGGCATCTATACCAAACATGCTTTTGTTATATTTTTTCCTTCTCTTGGTTTAATATAAAGATGGAAGAATGTGGGGTGTTATATAACCCTTCTCTCGATTTAATATGAGCTTTGAGCTCATTTTATGAGAATGAAATTTTCTGTATCTCTTCTTGAATTCTGTGAAGTTAGGGCAAGTGATAAAATTGAGAAACAAGTTTTTATACTTTTTATGTCTATTACTTTTATTGATATAATAGTGGAGCACGTTGGATGGCTAAAGAACTTTGTTGCAACCATTGCTTCCACACTTTGGTAAGTTGAGTTTTTTTTTATTCCCTTATAGTTTTTGACTGATATGCTTACTTTTATAATAATTGCAGGACAATGAGCTCGAGGTATTGAGGGAAGTCAGGGCAAGTGATGTGCCGATGTTGGCTACCGTCATTGCTACTCACGTCACGGCAGGCACATAGCTACGAGCGGCAATTCTACAGGTGTCAGCGGTAGGGACAAGGACTGGAAGACTGCAAATTCTTCAGGTGGGCCGACAATACAGCTGTGTCTACGATATCTCAATCGGACACAGCTGCTAGAAGTTCGATAGTACCACAACAGGAGACCACCGCATGTGGTTTGAGTTCTTCCGTTTCTACGATATCCCAGTCGGACAGGTTTGCTCGGTATTTTGAGATATCAGAACCGAGCAACATTCGTCATGATGTGCTTTTACATTTTAAAGTCAATGTTGTCATATTTTTCCTTGTAATTTTAACATGTTATTTTTTCCTTTTTTTTGGTCATATTATAATTCATATTAGTGTGCGAATGTATACTTCACTTTCGTATCTGTCTTTGCGCTTATTTGATGTAATCGGAACTTATTGACTTATATAAATATTATTTAAATCTTTTGCATTTTCATTTTGTAACATTTCAAAAAATAATAAATTCTGCTACAGATTATTAATTTAACTAAAAAAATTTATAAATAAGTTGTTTACAAAAAACACAAATCAAACAGCTAAACAACTTATTCAGAACAAGGACAGAATGGTCATTTTTCCAGAATAAGTTGTTTTCCATACGCACAAACCAAACAGCTTATCCGGATCATTATCCGGATCAGCTGCTCATCAGGCTGCTCATCAGCAGATTATCAGAATCAGCTGCTTATCAACAGAAATTGGATAAACTGCAGCTACCCCAAACAGACTCTTAGTGTTTTTCTTTATTTTTTTTGGGCGCAACCTCCCACAACGAGATAGATGGGACGAGTGAAACTTCATGTGGCAGAGGATGGAATGTCAAGATTCGCAGCAAGATTTGAAAAATTGGAGAGAATCGAAATGACTTATTGATTTTTATAATATAAATTAACTTAGTAAATAAAAATTAATTTATACTTATAACAAAACATTAAACATATATATTTATGAACTAAACTAAATTACATTTATAAATTTAGATTGAAGTAAATCATGTTTCTAAAATGTTGTTTGGTATTTTTTTTTAAATGACAATGTTTGAATTTTTTTTTCCGCAACATCATCTCATACACACAAGATATTTTTCATACTTCTCATGTGTGGTGACCTCGATGATATGGGTATTACTCATCAATGATCTCGACATTTTGAATGTATAGGCACAGATAGCTTTGCAAAACAAGTGAGAATCAAGTACTGTTCATTGAGCTATGGGAATTTTGAGCAAGATTTATGCATCGGGCATATCAACGCATTTCAAAAAATGGATGATGTTTGGGTATTTTTCATCTTGGCAATGTGTTTCAAATTGACCTTACGTTGTATCACATTTGTTATTCTATGTTATTATGGCGTTTGATTGGATCAAATGTGTAACAGATATGAAGACCAACACAAATATTAAAGTAAATCTTGTGAAGCAAAATTTGGAATCTTCTCACAACTTTGACTAGCAATAGCATTGGAGAAAAGAAAAAGATGATAAAGCAATACAACTAATAAATAAATGAAAAGGAAAAAAGACAAGTTCACAACTAAAACAAAAGGGTTATAAATTCACATTAACCAACGACCCTGCATACTCCAAAACCTGCGCAGCTAGTCTGCCAGATGCCCGCATGCCTTCAATTCCTTTCATATCATGTATTTCAGGTCCAGAAGAAATACCAGATGATTGACGATATAGGACATATGGTGGCTTTTGTATATGTTCTGGAACATGCAGACGAGGTGAAACTTTTCCAGGCCGTAGATGCTTCCTCTGATTGTTTGACAATGTTTCTGAATTTCTGCTATTAAAATAATATGAGAAGCATGATGTCAAAGCTTTATATTCATGTTAGTGCTCGAATCCCTAAGTTGAAGGATGCAATAGCAATAGGTCTCCAGAAAGAGCGAAAATTTTTTAGTATAAAAGTAGCATGTGAGCATAACAATGACCAAAGATAGACTACCGAATACCGTGTGTAATTTTTATTCAATCTCATTGGCTACAACATATCATAATAAAAGCCTATTAGGCTGATTGGGCCTATTCCAAGGATCTCATCTCCATAATTCTTCTTTTTTTCCTGCATGGTATACCAAAACATAAGCTAAATAGTTTCAGAGAACTAAAACAAACTAACCTAGCTTGTTCTCATCCAGTACTAAACTAACTGAAACCCAGACCACATGGATGTGAATAAACCTGGGCTTGAACCAAAAAAGTGCCCATCTAGTAAATGAACTCAATATCAGGATGACTATGCATGTCAGTTGAGCCGTTGAACATAGACCAAGTCGCCAATGAACATGTAACATAGAGATTCAAAATCAGGGGAAAATATCATGGTCACAGTCTTCTAGACTAATTGCCAAGCTTCCTTCCTCACCTTTGCGTTACCTCATCTCCAACACAGCCACATCAAACAACCTCCACCAACCTCTCCTCTTTCCTTGGTTTCCTATACAGGATCTACATTGTGACAGCCCGACTTTCGACACATCCTTCGGCTCTATACCACCACCATCTCTATATTCAATGTCAATCACCTTCTTCACAGAATCTGCACGATTGTACTCTGAAATCTCAAATATCATTGGAGTACAGCATAATCATCCTGCTCTTTCAACTGATCTGTGCCCCTGCTAGCTTATCAACTGAATGCAAGCAGAAGCTACCCTGTTTCCTTGGAGCTTTGCTAAATGCCACCCTAAACTAACTTTTTTTTTTCTCTGAAGTGCTGTATTATAGACTTCATTGCCATCTTAACACCGCTGCCTCTTTGACACAAATAAAGCCAAGTTTGAGTTCGTTTGAGCTAAATCAGTTTAATTCTTTAGAGCAAAATTCACTTGAAGATTAATTTACGCACACATGGAGGTTTATGGTTGAGCTTGAACCAACCGTAATTCGATCCCAAGGAGGAAAAATATGGCTGGTGGCTGCAAAAGGATGGTAAGAGGGTAGTCGGCTTGGAGTAACACTGTTCTAGGTCCGTATAAGGTGTTTGGGAAGTGGAACTAGACGGGTGGCGTTGTGGAATAGCAAGGGAATGAGATTGGGAAAGGAATATAAGATGTTTAGCAACTGAATGGGCTGAAAACTGCGAAGAAACCCACGAAAGACAACTACAAGTCACAGTGGTCGGGGGTGATCCACTACTTATTCCGGAACAAGCTACGGACACACTTGTAAAAATGAAGAGGAGGATAGAATGCTCCTTAGGACAGAAATCAGATAAAACAATCTCCAAATACTTAAAAAAAAGCCAATAAACCTCAAAACCAAAAAAATAAGAATATGCATATAGTTCTCATGCAAAAACAAACCTAATTCCAACTAAAATAATATTAAAAAAGGGCCCACAAGGACTGGTAGAAGCGTCACGAGCAGGAAAGTCCAGCTACCCAGGATAAAATATAGTCCTGGTTCCCGCAGACGCAAGGAATTTGAAGAAAACTTCTGGTCTGGGTCATGGAGATTGGCCTGAACCAATGTTGAAGAAGAAACTCCACCTACACTTTAGCAATGTACTGTTACAGAACTTGTAAGAGCAAGGATACAGCACCCCCAAAGGGAAGAAATGAGGGAACAAACATAAAATTCACAAACAAAGTCAAATGTTTTCAAACCAAGTTCTAAGCAATATATAATTTATACTATCAAAGAATAATTAACCCAATTTATATTCCAAACTAGGTTATAAAGAGCCCTACTGCTAGCCGACCCCAAAAGGGGTTGAAAATTCTTGAATCAAGACTAGTTTACATACCACGTCCCGGCCCGGAGACTTGGAGTACTAAGAAGGGAGCAGAGAATCAGACAAAAATAATAACGCAACAAACTAACATTTACAATAGTCCACAAAAAACGATCATTCAAAAAGAAAGAGTCTCTAAACCATAATAGTATCCAACAACATCATTTATACTAACATAAAGATATCGAACATGCACTACCTTTACAATAAAAAAAGATCCAAACAACAAAAAAAAAAGTCTAAAAACTATTTCATTTGAACATCTTTTATATGCATACTCTCATATCAGTCATTTTAACTTAATTAAGCATCCTCTAAGAGAAACAGTTAAATAATAAACTACCTTTACAGCAACTTAGTGAATAATTATAATTTTATTATACACTAAATCATTATACAAATGGTTACATAAGTGCTCAAAAGAAATATGATATACTATGAAGTAAGATTTTTTTTCATTTTAACAATAACATTCATTATTAGATTTTTTTCATTTTAACAATAACATTCATTATTTTGATTTTATCATTTAAATTTTATATTTCCTTAATTTTAAGAAGCCAGCTAAGGATCACCGTCAAAGTTTATATTAATTAAGATATAATCATTTTCATTTTTATTTTCATTTTTATGCACGGGTACAATAGTGTCCCCATCTGAAATCATAAGGGGTAACTCCTGATTGACTTAATCATTTAGTTTTCATTTAATCCATGTTTAATTCCTTTCAATCATTTGAATTCATTCATTAAATTTTCTAAACAATACAAAAAGCGAAATTATTTAAATCATTAAATAGCCATTTTATTTTTAATTATTTTCTTCCAATCATAAAAATATTTTAAAGCTTTTATGAAATAAATGAAAAAATTCTTTTAAGACAATAAAAATGTTGTCTGATTCAACATGCCCAAATTCATGACAATTCCTAGCTGGAGTAGATTTAGGGGTGCGGATTGATTCTATATGTTATTTACTCTGAATCAACTTTTCCTCTGACAGGGTCGTCTTGAATGCTCTTCTGAGTGTATTCTGGTTGAACTCTGCCTGTAAGATATGATGGTCGCTCGGTGATGGAGTCTCTCCACTTTTGAAGATAGGGTCCGAATATTTTGTTTGTAGTAAGCTAGTAGTAAGTAACACTGCATCTCTCGTTTCATCTTTAGGTTCTCTCGTTCTCCCTTTTGACATTTACATGACGGTCAAGGGTAATCTCCTCTTGGGTTTCATCCTCAATGTCCGCAAACTTCCACTAAAGTTGACGGGATCTCTGTTGCATCTCTTCTCGGGTAGGCTCATGCATGTATCTCCTTGGTGACATGGCTAGGGTTTAGGGTTGAGAGTTGAAAGAGAGAGCATGAGACTAATTAAAGGTGTAGAAAATTTAATTTGGGTTGCTGATTTTGAAAATCAACAAAGGAAAACTAGAGTTCGGTTAAAATTTGGCTACGGTTTGGAAGTAGGAAAGAAAATTTTGGGTGGAGGGTTAGGGCGGATGCTAGGAAACTCTAAGATAGAATTAGAGTTAGGCTAGCTCTGATACCAAATGATACCGGAGTTAACCTCAACCACAACAAAACAGACATTTATTATTGAATTCAAAAATACAACGACGACTCCTCAACAACACAAACACACAAACAGTCAAGTCATAACGCTCTGCGAAATAAGAATAAAAATAACACAAAACACATAAACAGCCCACGAGGGTAAGAACGACTAATCTGAAGACCTGGACATGGGTGCAGCAGTGCGGGGTGAAGGATAAAAAAGTGCTCTACTAGGACGGACAACCGATGGCGGGATGGGGGCTAGCAGGCAACTTGAAATAAGTTCAACAAGGCGGCACATAGGTGGTTGGATGGCTACAAGACGATGACCGGAAATAGGTTCAGCAAGGTTGCAGGCCGACAACTGGAAGCAAGAATAGCAAGGAAGCAGACTGGTGGTCGGATGGCTACAGATCAGTGGCCGGAAACAAGTTCAATGAGACTATAGGTCGGCGGCTGGAAGCAGGAACATCAAGGATGTGTCTTGGGGGAAGGATGGTCGCAATCCAGCGGCTGGAAACAAGGCCTGCAAACTGTATAATGACTTGACAAGGGGAGGTAGAGTGGAACAGGTGAAGATATCAGCACCTCGGACGAGTTACATCCATAACACCTTAGCGTTGTCAGATACAACTCTCAAAAAAGATAAACGCCTTAGAGGCAGCAAACTGAAATAAGAGAAAAATCAAGACAAAATCCTAAGAAAGCAATCATCATAAATATATAATAGATTATAGTAGATAGAAATAGAAGGTACTAGGAAAAGAAAATGGTGGAATAAAAAGGCATGGAAAGGGAAAGGAATTGAAATAGTAAAGAAAGAGAAATGAGAAAGGAAGGGGGCGGCCAATTTGGAAAGAGAGGATCCTCTCCCTTTAGGCGTCTGCGGTATTGTAGAAACTACAATACCACACCCTCGTAAACACCCATGTCAGTATATTATCATTTATAATTGAATCTAATAAAACACAAATTGATTATTTTCTTATGAGAAAAATATATCGTTGAGGTTGTAAAGATTGTAAAATTATTTTAGGGCCCGTTTGGGGCAGCTTATTTGGTGTTGTGACATTTTGAAAACACACCTGCTCAGTTTGGGTAAACTGCGTTTTAGCAGTTTATGCGTTTTTAAAACGCTGAAAACATAGTTTTTATACCGCACATATTTTGGTGTGGTGGCTGTTTTCTTGCTGCGATTTGACATTTCCAAAAAAATAAAAATTTGTAACACCTAGTTTGTCAGCAAATTATTTTTAATTAACTTATCAGCAGATTACTCAATAAGCTAAGGCTACCCAAAACAGACCCTTAAGTCAAAATTTAAGTACTCAACATCAATTATTGATTTTTAATTTTAAGACAAATAATTGAAAAATAAAAAAAACACAACGAAATATTATCATAGAATTAGATAAGAACACTAAAAGACGAAAACAAATTTATTTTTATGAGTAACCTTCAAGATCTTAAGATTTGAGATTTTTATAAGGAAAC